TGGTAAGGACATTTGCCGTTGTCTTGCTAAATCAGTTCGGAAATGATAAAATGGAACCTCAATAGAGGGAACCTTCCCGCACTGGTCGGTTGTCTCCCTTCCCCTCCCAACCTGTTGGTTCTATCTATCTTCCAGCAAAGTTTCATTTTTATTTATAACTACCGTGGTTCAGTAGTTTGATCCTACATTTAATTGCCAACCCTTGTAGACAATACAGAGAATGTACATCTCCACTAACAAACACCACCTCTGTTCTTATGCCTGGTCTGTTGTATTTCTTGCTTTATGTTTAATAAGTCTTAAACAAGAATTAAATGAGCTATACTGGCAAGTTATCCAGGACAGGTCTTTCTATACTGAAGTTCACTTCTTTCATATTATCATTATTATCATCTGTAAAGTAAAATGTAACAGAATTTTTATCCTTGCGAACTATTTCTCTTAAGTATCAACAGTTTGAGTTCTAAAAAGTCTGGACGTCTGATGTAACCATGAGAAAGTAAAGTCTTTCAGGAGTAACGCAAACGGGTTATGAACTGTGTGGGTCCCTTGTTTATGTGTTGCTGCCTGTTGTGATTTTCCCAGACCCTTTGCGATGTTTCCACGCTGCCTTCAGTCAACAGCTCGTTCCCAACTACATTACGCACGGTGTTCTCTGAGTTGATTTCTTTCATGTGTTCTCCTTTCTGTCTTCATTACCTCTCCTGATAACCATCAGCATAGGTAGTCACTGACATTTAAGTTAATCCTAAACATTATGGTTTCATCAGATTGAACACATGATTTGGCTCCTTAACTATTCCTGACCCGCTTAATAAAAGGTCCTAAATAAAGGTCTCCTGTTCTTTGCAGAGGGGTAACCAACACTTTTACTCAAGGCGAGGGGAATTCATTATTTTCATTTTAAGGTGACTTTATTTCTTCTGTAAGGACACTCAATTTATGCCATTCATTTTGTGACCACCACATTCTTGGACTCCAAATCTTCTTTACCTCCCACCCCGCTACGCAATTCTTCTGATTCTTCTATCCATCCTTTCTAAACTGCTAGAGGGTGAAATATAATTTGTTGCAATGAACAGTCTACAGATTTCAGAGCCCACATGGACCAAGCTGTCTTCTGAAGATGAAAGCCAAAAGACAGCCAGAGCACCTCAGGGCAATGAAAATACAGGGGATACTTCTTTAATACCAAGCTGACTTCCCTCAGGGATTAATGATGGAGGAAAAAAAAAATCTTGACATGAATGCCCCCCGCTACAGAACCAGACTGAAAGAAAGTGGGAGATCTGGGATCACAGCCGTTGCTGGGATGGCAAGCTTGAGCCAAACAATTTCCTCCTCTCTATAAAGGGAGATGAAAAAGGCAAATGGAAATTAGAAAAACTAACACATCTTCTGCTTCCCTCCCCCAGGGAGAGAAAGAAAAATAATATAACAAACAGGAAAGCATTTTCTACAAATAATATTTTGGTGCGAGTGAAGCTAGGTCTCAGCTCTATGCCAGCAGAGCATTAAACTAACATACCATAAGAAGTAAGACCCTGGGACCACAAAAGAGGGAGCCATAAGTGCAAACTCTACGAGCAATCTCCTGGCACATCCTGCAGATAAAGATATTTGAGCACTAGCCTCAATAAAGAAAACTTCCAGTGCTGATAAAATTGCCGGAAAAGCACACATACATACACAAAAACTGCAGGACAGAAGTGTGCTTAGGCACTAAAAAAAAAAAAAAATCACAACAAAAAACATTCTTTCAGCAAATAAAAGAAACAGAAAACCCACACATCTGTGGGACAATTAAGTCACGTGAGCCCTGCCGGGCTGGCGACTCTGTTATGTACCACCTCCCAGAAGACTGGGCAAGCCCTGTTCCCTTACAATAGGAACACCATCAAACTGAATAAAGAAAAATAAATAAGTGAAGGGTTAGAGGCAGAGAAAAATCAAAGTTTCATTGTTATAATTACACAGCACAGTGATAAGGGTAATTTTTCTTAAATCAGAAAATAAATTCTAGGTTCACATTCCCTGAAGGATATGAAATATTAGAGGATTTTTTATGGTTGTAATCACAAACTCATTTCTCCAGCCACTACTGGCCGTGTCTAATTAGGGCAAAGTATGTTAATGATACAGCGGCACAGCCCAGAGACGGCTTCAGTTGCAATATTAATTGCA